ACTCCTGGCTCCACCCCCTCCTGCAGGCTGCCAGGTGGCTCCACCTGCAAGTCTGCAGGGGCTCCAGCGTGCTGCGTGCCTGGGGCCTGACGCCCCTCCCCCTTGCTCTGATCAGCTCCATCCCCAGGGGCAGGGTCCTGGAGGCCAGTGTCCTGCAGCGAGCTCGTCTGCCCGAGCCCCCTCCCCGCCGGTCCATCGGTGGGAGCATCCTCCCCTTGGACTGTTCCATTCGGACAGCTCCCCTTCGGGACGGTTCCATTCTGCAGCCCCTCGGCAGGGAGCGGCTCGCCGCTGGGGGGGACGGGGCACCGGCTTCCTTGGTGCCGTCAGGAAGTGCTGCATCCTGCTGCTCTGGGAAAACGGCCTTCTTCTCGATGTGGGTCACGTGGAACCTGCCAGGGCACAAGCGCGTCACTCCCTCCCATCTCCCGCCTTCCGCCCCCACCCTCGGACCCACTGGTTCCCCGTGTGCTGGGCTGTGCCTAGGCAGGAACGGGTTCATCCCACCCTGCTGGGGTGTCCCCAGGGCCGTGCTCATGCTCCTATAAAGGAGACCAGCCCGGGGACTCTTCCAGCCCTGGTCACGTGGAACCTGCCAGGGCACAAGCGCGTCACTCCCTCCCATCTCCCGCCTTCCGCCCCCACCCTCGGACCCACTGGTTCCCCGTGTGCTGGGCTGTGCCTAGGCAGGAACGGGTTCATCCCACCCTGCTGGGGTGTCCCCAGGGCCGTGCTCATGCTCCTATAAAGGAGACCAGCCCGGGGACTCTTCCAGCCCTTGCCTTGGCGGCTGGAGTCCCTGACACCCAGGCTGGAGACCTGTTGCCTACAGGCAGCCAGTCCAAGCCAGCAGCCACTGGGGAGCTCGTGAGGTCAGCCAGCCTGCAGCGCCAGGACGCCCAGTAGACCGTGATCCCAAGAGGGGCAGTGCCTGGTAGCTCCGCCCATCTAGGTCTGCGCCTTGCACTTGGGTTCCCCACAGACCCAGTAGCAGCCTATTCCACCACTGTTAGTGCCCTGCATCTGGAGCCAGTGGAGTTCATTGGCGCTGGGTCCTCTTACCCTGCCTGCCACCCCCTTGGTGGCGGTCCCCAGATTTGCTCATTAGGTCTTTCTGCTGTGCACTCAAGGGCTGCTATATTGACTCTGACCAATAGGCTGTGCTGCCCTGCCCTTGAGGACCACTGTACAGACTCTGACCACTAGTCTACACTGCCCTGTGCTTGTGGGCAGCCGTGTTGTCTGGAGCCATTAAGCCAGGCAGCCCAGAACTGAAGGGCTGCTGCTTAGACTCTGGCCATTGGGCTGCACTGTTATGTGGGTAGCCTGTAACAGCAGTGTCAGGGCACCCACGATCTACCCCCGCAGGCGGAAGGGGTGTGCACACACGGCCACTCATGGCGGAGAAGGCGGGCAATGGCCAGGCCCTATTGAAAGGCCCCAAGGGGCGGAGCGTACCAAGAAGGTCTCCTTTCTCTGTCCGCCCATCCATGGAGAAAATATTGAAATGGCTGTTGGAGAGGTGGTGCCAGCAGGCCCCCCAATAACAGCAACACCAGGCCCAGCTGTTCCAGCAAGTCACAACCCAGCAGCAACAGCCACCGAGGGATGTGGCAGCAGGAGAGCTTGAACACGGATGCGTCCAGCAGGGCTGCTGAGCCCCGGATCATCCAGCGAAGACACAGGGACTCTTCCCACTGGCCTTTTGCGGCAGCTTCAGAAATGGGATCCAGTGATGAGCTGAGGCATTTTTGACAACCTCTGAATGCACGGCCACTCCGTCCTGCACGCTGGCTTAGGGCTCCTGCCCCGGCATGGTCACTGGGCCCGGAGCAAAGCGCACGGTGCTGACTGCTGGTGAGCAGGCATCACTCAGCCAGCAGTGCCGAGCCAGGGAAGAGGAACGGGCTGCTGCCCCGGAGAGAGGGCCGGGATCAGCTCCCTTGTTGTGCGGTGGGCGCTGGGGAGGGGAGAAGCGTTCTCTGTGGCCACAGACGAAGGGGGAAGGGAGCAAGCAGACCTGGGCTCTGGCTTTTCCCCTGCCACTGGCCCAAGGGGCGACTTCGGGTGAGACTCGGTGACGCTCTAGGCCGGGGTGGCCAACCCGTTCCAGACAAAGAGCCACAATAGCAGTGGGGACAGCGTGAAGAGCCAGGGAGAAAAAAAAAAAAAGCTCCGCGCTGGGGTGCTGTTACGCTGTCCCAGGGCACGCTGTCCCCACTGGGAAGGGGTGAGAAGTGCAGGCTGAGGCAGGGAATTTAGCTGCAGGAGGAAGTAGAGAAGAGGCTGCTGGCTCAGGGAGGGGGCTTCAGGCTGGAGAGGGCTGGGATCAGGGGGAGGGTTGGGGTGCTGAGCAAGCTGCAGGCCTGTGGCTGGGAGGGTGCAGGAGTTTGGGTTGGAGTGCGTGAGGGGCTCAGGGCAGGGAGGCTGGGAGTAAGACGGGCTCAGGACACAGATTTGCGGTGTGTGGATGGTGCAGGAGTGTTGTGGCAGCAGACTGGGGATGTGGGGGTCATTGAGTTTGGGGCTGTGAGAGGCTCAGGACAGGGGGTTCCAGTGTATGACAGGCTCAGGTTTGGGGTCTGCAGGAGTGTTATGATGCTGCGGCCAGATGGGGGCTTGGCCCCAGTTGGGGACTTGCTGGCCAGGCTTCATTTTGAAATAAAATATTATGTCAAACACAAAATGTTTCAGCGTTGTCTTTATTTCTGAGAGGGGCGGGGAACCTGTTTTGATGCGTCCCTCCCCCACCTTGCTGCCTCTGTATCTGAGGCACCACGGGGGGAGCCGGCTTAAAAGTCACCTCCCCCAGCACCGTCTCCGCGGGGGGGGCAGAGGAGGCAGAGGAGCAACGGGGGAAAGGGCGGGAGCGGGGACCAAAGCAGGGCCTGCTCTCATGGGTCCCGACTGCTGCGCCTCGGGTCTGCCCAGGGGGACGGGACAGAGACAACCGGGGCCAGTTCCTGGGGATCCCGGGTCTCAGGATGTGTGCAGGCTGCTCTTCCCCTCCCCTAAACAGCTGGTGCGCTTCCTGAAATGCCCGGTCTGTCGCTCCGCCAGGGACTTCCTTCCCCCAGCTGCCTGCCTGCGCAGGGTGTGTGTGTAGGAGTCCCGGGCTGCAGGCCAGCTCCACCTTCCCAGGGCGCGCTCTTCCTCCGCTCCCCACGACAGCCGCTTCCTGAGAAGTTGGGGCTGGCCTGCAGTCCCAGGGGTCCTTCTC